CGGAACAACTCCGTGGTTAAAACAATGTGTAATTAAAGTGTGTATAATATCAATACAAGCATTGTTTTTTAAAACTTCCGCCGGGATACTATCTATTCCTGTCGCTTTGTTTGATTTTTTTCTCCATATGGCGTCCGCGATCTCATGACGTTGTATAGGTAGGTTTAGTTCAGAGATGTCAAAGTTATGTTTAATGGGCACGGTATTGTTGGTAACATGTTCTTGTATCGAACGGAGATGGGCGTCATCAAATGATTTCTCAGATCCGTCTGTTGCATAAAGGCTTTCGTAGTCTGATCGCCAACGTTCTAGTACAAGTCGTGTGTCGCTAATTATGTTACCCTCACTATCTTTGACTTCCAACGGTATCGTTGATGTTCGCTCGTTAACAATCCCAATTTTACCGATATCCCGCCAGAAATCCCTGGAGTTCGGTTGTTCAAGTTTACTTTGTAAATCCCTTAGTTGTTTCGCTTGATATTGTCTTTTGATTTTTCTATGTAGCTTATCAAAGATATTGCGTTCTGTACAAAAAGCACGCTTAAGCTGGGCTTTTGTAGATTTGTGTATGTCCAAGCACTTAAGCCAATCGCGTTCCTTTTCGCGCACAGAATTCCACTTGTCTTGTAGTGATTGATCCCAGTACGGTTTATACAGTGATTTCTGGTTGGGTCGCACTTTAGATTTGTTATATATACGCATTCCCGAGTTGTCCATTTCTTGATGCAAAAAGCTTACAAATTCATCGTACGCAGAGTTAACGGTGGAGCCGTTTATTAGCTGATTCTCAATGCGTTGAATAGTGGCGTTTATATCCGCTGTGTACTTATCTCCGATGAGAAAGTCATTCGGAACTTTCTTGGCATGGTACCGTTTGCGTGTGACGGGAACATTAACGCGGTCGCCTAAATTGCTTACGTTGTCCAAACCTACTCCATCATTAGGTATGTTCACTGTACAAATTAGGAGGGAATGGTCTGGGTAAGCTGTAGGGACAATACCGCCAGCGTCATGTATTACGTCAGACATAGTAAGCACTTTAAAGTCTGTAAAACACGTCAAATGGTCATGGGGAACGAGCATATAATCAACTACAGATCTCCCTTTTGTAGAAATACAAGTGAAGTTATTCCCATCGGAGTTGTGACGGCCATTTAACATACACATGTTCGAATCAACACAGAAGTCCAGGAAATGATCACCAAACGAATTGACGACGGTATCCATTGCTTCCCTATGTGGGATATGATCTATGCCTTCAATATAGTCAGAACGGTCACCCGTCCTAGCGTTGAAGTCGCCACACACGAACACTATACCTTCGTTTTGATACATATGTACTTGGTGAAGAAGGGCAGAATAAACAACATCTGGATCATACGCACGGTTAGAGTTTTCTGGGGAGTAATAACACACGCAAAGGCACATAGTGAACTCATTCGATTTATCCTTTAATTTCATCCAGTAGACGTCATCATTTTCCTTGTTCAAATCGGATATATCAAAGCACTGTAACACAGAGTTTTTCACAAGAAACCCAACTCCACCAGAACCACGTTTAGCGCGCTTATGTTGATTTGATCTATTGTGACCAAAAAAATGATAATCGTCCATCGATATTTGCTCGTCGTCTTTGAGAAACGTTTCGCATACACACATAATGTCAGTGTCAGAATGTCGCGTTACTTTATTTCTAAAATCAGAGTTTTCATTTGCATGCCTAGACCAGCCGTTAACATTCCAACAACCTAGTCGTAGACTGTCCTAGCGACGGTGTGCATGTCGGTGTTGATCTACGCCTTGGTATCGCCTATCAGGGTTGTAGCGTTGATCGCGACGTTGTTCGGGTCGTTGAAAAGATTCGCGCTGGTGGTGAGCGTTACCATCGTCGTGGTTAGCTGAATGTCTGGACCGTACGGTCCTCCATCCACCCGCGTTAGCACTAGTACTGTCATTGTGTGTGTTACCGTTACCGTCACGGTCGGCCTCCCTCACCTTAACAATCCTATTACCGTACACTTTGTAGTCATTGTGCCTGCCGATTTCACGTAAAACGGTGTGCAGAGAGCGCTGTGTTTCTAATTCGCTTTTGGACATATCGTTGTCGATATATACCCTCGGATAATTACGCGAATATTTCAGGGTTTGCTTTTTTCTCATAACAGACTGTTTTTGGTTTAGGGTTTCAATGGTAGCGATAACGACACCGGGATGATCTCCCCTTGCTAGCTTACGATCTGCTTGGGTTATATTTACACCCGGTAGATTGAGGCCATCTCGGATCATTGCATTCACTTACACATGTGGTGTAACATTACACCACATAATTTGAGTGTAATCTTACACCGATACAAGTGGTGTAACATTACACCATAATTTCTGGAATGTTTAGTTACACTTAGGGTTACACCAATGTATTCAAGGAAAGTATACCAAAAATGTGTGATAACTCAACTGACATAAAAATGTCAGGTAAACAAAATACATATTGAGTAATTAAAATGACACATTTTTATACTAGACTTGGGTTCAAGGTTACAAGTAACAAACATAAGTGTGAAAAAAATCAGTACAGACTTGAAAAAAAAACCCAATCAAATAACAAAGTAGGAACTGAGATACTTTACACTGATTTTTTAATATTGTAAACTTAAGCGTTTTTAGAGAGAGAAAAATAAGAAAATTATTAAATTTGAGACTTTTTAACTTCTAAATCTGAACTGTTTTACACTGAGTTTGATAAGTGTAAATTTAAAGAATGAAGTTATGTTTACACTTGATTAAGGCGGCTGTTCAACACCTAAAACTGAGCTTTAGTGTACAGCTATACATGTTTGTACTTGACAATATTAATCAAGAAGTAAAGCTTACTTACGTAATTTTGGTAAGTTAACTCTGTATTTTTTAACACGTACAACTAAGAAACTATATTTTATGTTTAACAGAAAATATTGCCACATCTGTCAGGCAATATTACACGAACGTGTAAACTTACGCCACCTACAACAACTACTGTACTCACACTGAACACAAGGTAACGTTACACTGTTCAAAATTTAGTGTCATTTTACACCATATCTTGTGTAGCATGCCCTGCGACACCATTATTGGTGTAAATATTCACCAAAGTCAGTGTAAATAAAGTGTAACGTTACACAGTTGAGAAATCAGTGTGATTTTATACCATATCGTGTGTAGCATTCCCTACGACACCATTATTGGCGTAATTATTCACCAAAGTCAGTGTAAATAAAGTGTAACGTTACACAGTTGAGAAAATTGTGTGATTTTACACCATATCTTGTGTAGCATGCCTTAAGACACCATTATTGGTGTAAATATTCACCAAAGTCAGTGTAAATAAAGTGTAACGTTACACAGTTGAGAAATCAGTGTGATTTTATACCATATCGTGTGTAGCATTCCCTACGACACCATTATTGGCGTAATTATTCACCAAAGTCAGTGTAAATAAAGTGTAACGTTACACAGTTGAGAAAATTGTGTGATTTTACACCATATCTTGTGTAGCATGCCTTAAGACACCATTATTGGTGTAAATATTCACCAAAGTCAGTGTAAATAAAGTGTAACGTTACACAGTTGAGAAATCAGTGTGATTTTATACCATATCGTGTGTAGCATTCCCTACGACACCATTATTGGCGTAATTATTCACCAAAGTCAGTGTAAATAAAGTGTAACGTTACACAGTTGAGAAAATTGTGTGATTTTACACCATATCTTGTGTAGCATGCCTTAAGACACCATTATTGGTGTAAATATTCACCAAAGTCAGTGTAAATAAAGTGTAACGTTACACAGTTGAGAAATCAGTGTGATTTTATACCATATCGTGTGTAGCATTCCCTACGACACCATTATTGGCGTAATTATTCACCAAAGTCAGTGTAAATAAAGTGTAACGTTACACAGTTGAGAAAATTGTGTGATTTTACACCATATCTTGTGTAGCATGCCTTAAGACACCATTATTGGTGTAAATATTCACCAAAGTCAGTGTAAATAAAGTGTAACGTTACACAGTTGAGAAATCAGTGTGATTTTATACCATATCGTGTGTAGCATTCCCTACGACACCATTATTGGCGTAATTATTCACCAAAGTCAGTGTAAATAAAGTGTAACGTTACACAGTTGAGAAAATTGTGTGATTTTACACCATATCTTGTGTAGCATGCCTTAAGACACCATTATTGGTGTAAATATTCACCAAAGTCAGTGTAAATAAAGTGTAACGTTACACAGTTGAGAAATCAGTGTGATTTTATACCATATCGTGTGTAGCATTCCCTACGACACCATTATTGGCGTAATTATTCACCAAAGTCAGTGTAAATAAAGTGTAACGTTACACAGTTGAGAAAATTGTGTGATTTTACACCATATCTTGTGTAGCATGCCTTAAGACACCATTATTGGTGTAAATATTCACCAAAGTCAGTGTAAATAAAGCGTAACGTTACACAGTTGAGAAATGTGTGTGATTTTACATCATATCTTGTGTAGCATGCCCTACGACACCATTAATGGTGTAAATATTGACCAAAGTCAGTGTAAATACAGTGTAACTTAACGCGGACTTTTTACAGTGAAAATGCACTACTACAATACAACACAATATATTTTCAAATAGTGACATTTGCATACATCAAAATTACATACGTGTACAATGTTTCACATATTTTTTTGGCACCCGACCAAAAGGGTCTATAGTTCACTTTAACTTAAATTTACCTTCAAAATATCACTTGCGTCATTGGTTAAATAACAATTAAATTATATATATACTTGTAGAATGAGACAAAATCTTAATTTTTACGAAATAATTTTATTTTTATTTTTATCAAATATTTTCGACAGATATTTTGCTGTTTGCAGTGGTGATTAATTTGAAACTGACTATAATTGGTTTGAATACGTTTTACCCTTATATGCAGCCTTCTTTGTTAAAACACCGCACACAATAATATGTTTTATCTGGCACAGTCAATGCCTTCGATCGCTCTGGGATATCGTTACTACACTTACCTGGGACATTGTATAAAATATCAAGGGAACGTCCGTTCACAGGAGTTGCTAGAATTTCAATTAACATCTAATCCTAGCATATTGGACTTTCTGGTGAGTAATATTGTTTGTTTTTGCTGAAAAGTGACATTTTATAACAGGATAATTTGGTACACACACACACAACCAGGTTTCTAAGTAAAATAACAACCGCACACATGTACCACGGAAGAATCTATGTAATTTAATAAAAATAACAACCGCATACATGTACCACGGGAGAATCTATGTAAATAAATAAAATAACAACCGCATACATGTACAGCAGAAGTATCTAGGTAATAGGTATATAAATAAAATAACAACAACCCCATGTATTGAGAACGAAAGAATATATGTATGTATGTATATAAATAAAATAACAACGGTGAACCGTATACATGTATCACGGAAGAATCTATGTATATAAATCAAATAGCAATCGCAAACATATACAACGGATGAAACTATGTAAATGAATAAAATAGCAACCACAAACATGTACGATGAATCTATGTAAATGAATAAAATAACAACCACATACATGTACCACAGAAGAATATATGTATATAAATATATATTAAGGATGTACTCCTCTGAGGTTTCAGTCACGTCAAAATTACACTACTGAAGTACTTATGTAAATAAAAAAGGGGTGCGTCTAATTACCCAATACTACCCAATACCACACAATACTACCCAATATAGTCCGAATTATTCTGACGTTTTATCGACTTTTTTCATATCGGTCTGTCGTCGGTTAATCGACGACAGACCGATATGAAAAAAGTCGATAAAACGTCAGAATAATTCGGACTATACCCAATACTACCCTGTTATGAACCAAATACTTCTTTATTACTATGAAATATCATCTTTATAGACGTTATTTACTTCCATCTGCCATATTTTATCGGGAAATATGCGATTTTGTGCCGAAAACATCACCGAATTGCCGTGACTATGACCCAATACTACCCCATACCATCCAATACTACCCCATACCATCCAATACTACCCAATACCGCCCAATACTACCCAATATGACCCAGTTATGAACCAAATACTTCTTTATTACTGTGAAATATAACAATTCTTGAAGTTATTTACTTCTATATGTCACATCCTATCTGGAAATATGCGATTTGGTGCAGAAAACATCACCGAAATGTCGTGACTAGGGGTTCGACGCTTTACAGGAACGGGCAGGAACGGGCAGAAATCTATTAATTAATATATATATACATTAATGAATATATATATATAAGATAGATTTTTAAAAGTATCATTATCGGGTATAAGATATATTTGATAAAAGAATTGCAATAACATGATACTATATTAATTCTATTCATGTCATAAAATGGTGTTATTAAGATCATATATATAAATTTAGCAGGAAATATTTAGAAAATTTGAAATTACTTTTCATAAATGTTAGTTATTCAATTTTGTTAAACATAACAGTATCAATTATATAACAATGCTGGAGAAGAACCTTCAGTTAAATTAGATACTCAAATACTACGAAATTCAAAAAGTATATGGATTGTATATGATTCGAAGTCCTTTCAATTACTTGATTAACTCACAGATAGTCTGTTTTGGACAAGCTAGATATTTTTTCCATATATAGTTCCCTGACCAATCTTATGAAGGGTAGACGAGTAGGTTGTCATTAAGTAATGTAAAAATTAAATAGATTAATAAAAGGAATTACGTTACGCTTCTTATACATCAATCCAGAGACGTATATATTACATTACNTCGACAAGGAAATTACTAGATTCCCCAGAAGTCAAACAGTATTAGACGGTCACAAATCCGAGGTATACCAAAACAAAAACATGTAGTTACTTAATTTGTATATAGAATTATAATGTTAACCCAATAACCCCAAATACGTAATTTAAAGTGTTCCATGTGACATATTCACAAGTTTGAAGGCTATTGCCTTCGGTATAAAACACTAGTTATTTCTCTCAGAATAATCTACACACAACTTTTGTTACAGTAAGTATTATATTATATTTGACTTTAGCACTCAACTATTCACACTGAACAAGGCAACGTTCTACTTTATGCCTCCAATCCATACATTAGGTAAAGCCCACATAGATATGCGTAGAACGATGGCTTATGTCTGTTACATTTCTTTCAAATTAAAAATAGGACATAAGACCTATCAACATACAAAGAAAAGATTAAGAAAATTAAACAGTTGATAATCACTAATGTCAAACTTTTCTAGTATGTCCATTTTCAGGTGATGAGATTAAGTCGCCTTCAAGCATCAACTAGTGAAATATGTTGTACAGTCTACGTAGCAACACTGTGTGGTGACCTTTATCGCCTCTTCGCTGATTTATGAACATATTCCCTTTCCTTGTCGTTTGGTCTTTAAATTCACCGCCGCATCAGGCACGTGTGAAATATCAAGTTGACCCGAACCGTTAAGGAATGTTAATAGCACTTGTAGTTGTATTGTGTACATGTACAGTTTTTAAAAAGTGTACATGTACACAAATGTCTTATATTGTAGTTGTCTATCGGCCATCATAAGAGACGAATATATTGGATATTACGTAATATATACGTCTTTGATCATCCAAAAGCAAAATACTAAATGACATGAAAACTTGATTCGACTCCCAGATATACTGTATACACATATTTACTTTTAATAACCCTGAGTTTGTGACACTAATTAGGAAATAACAGAAATCTGTTATCTGGAGTACGGCTCCATTCTGGACTCGGGCAAAGATCCCGGCTCCCCGGCTCTGTGCCCTCGGGCACTTAATAATCCAAGTTCCTGAAGGTACACTTATGAGGTGTATACTGGTACCGAATCTAAATCACAGTTACAGGTAAATATATATATTATAATTTTATTTTATAATGGCTTCCGAGGAATTACAAATTCCACTTGCAAACCACTTATATAATATGTACAGAAGACGTAGCAGTCTATGTGATTAGTTATAATTTTAAACAGTGTCTTGTAAGCCATTTTAGGCTGAATATCATATACAATTACATTTTCTATTTTATGCATATGTTAAATATGATACCATGTGTCAATCAGAAAAATAATTATGAAAATAATCTTCCGTTTAAATTATAATTAGCTACTAGTTAGTGTGAATTTAGCAGACCTCGCTGGTAGGGGGCTCCCAACCCTTGGAAACCTAAATTTCACTACAATGTAGAACTAGGAAATTATTCATTTTATTTATCACCATTGTTATTTGGGTTTTTTAAAGACATCATGTTTAAAGGCAGTAAATGTAAAAGAAACCTTTTAACTATTATAGTATTTAATATGTAAGGACAAAATCCAGGAGTTTGTTAGGTAGTTGTAGGGGGTGTCCCAATCACCTGCTCTCTGGATTGGCACATGTATGTTTTTATACTGTGTTATTAATTTATAATGTATAATAGCTGTTCTTAACAAAATTATGAAATGGCCTATATATTTTTACATTAAGATGATTGATCCCTGTTATGTAACTATATGTTTTTATACTGTGTAACTATATACTTGTACGCTGTAATTGTGATATATGACACTATGATAAACAAAATTGACTTGACTATATATATATATATATATATATTGGTTATGCAATGACGACGAAAACGGAGATACATTTTGAAAAGAACATGAGCATTCTACGGATTTTTTTTAGTTATAACAAGTCGATATAATATGTATAAATATAGATTTGTTCCAATATACACTAAAGATACATGGTTGTGAAAAGTAAATCTACTCTTACTAAATACTCGTCGAATTTATTCAAACAAATTTAAGTCTTTAAAAACATCAAGTTATATGAATGCATAACCACGGACTTTATCCAATTCCGTGTACAATATCTAATTTTAAACATAAACTTAGACCCGTGCAATTGAATAGATTCTTGATATATGAAATCCATTTAAAATCAGCGAAATCATTTTCATGTAAATTCAGCATAAGCTTGTACATTATACTAGACAATTTATTTTCACCTATAATTAGTTTATACCAAAACATTATCATTCTAGATTTGTCCATTTCCAGTTCCTAAAATGGGTAGTATTATTGACCAATAAGCTTTTATGAGCAATTGCTTGATCAGTTTATTTTAATTTTTATGCAATTATTTACATTTAAAATTGAATTTTTAATTGATTTAAACATTCGTACGTTTCTAATCAAAACAATATGGTGTCAAGCTCGCCTCTTAGCGAAATCCCGCTGATAAGGCTAGTAGGCAACAGAACAGAAACGACCGATGAAATGCATTTGTTGAATGAATTAAAAAAAAAAAAAGTACACATTCCTTGATCTTACCTCCATTTATTACTGAAACGTTATGAAATGTTTCACATATGTCGTATGCATTTAGTGATTTACACAAAACTCTTCACAAATCTATACAAATAATCATCGATTTTGTCGATAAGCACGTACAGATTGGTATGCATACTGACATGGACATGTAAGAACTTGGTCAATATTAATCCATTATGTGTCGTATAAACTTTGGTAACAGCGGGACGTTCACGAGCTCTCGCCAGTATGGGCATGGCCAAATGACCGACTTTTGAAAGCTTCTTTCCGATTTGTCAGTCCGCTTCAGAATGACACGTCGCCAGTTCAGGTCACAAAGTATTTTTACTACGTACTTTTTGTACAAGGAAATACAATGTTTCTAAATATATTAGCGTAGTATATTTGTTAAGGTGTGTATTTATTACATTATATTAGTAGAATGGGGATCATAGTACGTTGTAGTTCGTGTCTATACTGGCGATTAGAACATGATATTTGGTTTAAAGGGGCTGGTCGGGGAAAAAATATCATATTTGCTAAAATGGTATACACATGTTTAAAATACCTTCTTATGAAACGAGTTTATTTTACACTGTAGACGCCAACCTAAAAACTTGAAACGTATGTTGACATGTTCTAAGTTTGATAATTCTTGTGTAACACCAGAAGTATCCAAATGTAAGACACCAAGATGTGCTACATGTCCTAGGATTATCGAGTGTAATACGTTTATTTTCAAGAATGGTTTGAAATTTACTGTGAAGGTAAATATGAATTGTAAATCAAAAAATGTAATTTATGCAATCGTTTGTTCTAAATGTGGTGATTTTTACATCGGTCAAACCGGTAATGAACTCAGAACACGTATGACTGTACATAGACAACAAACTAGAACTGATTCTTTACGAAATCTTCATGTTAACAAACATATTCATGAATGTGCTGGAGATAAATTTAATGTATTACCTTTGTATCAACTATTTTCATCAGACACTATTTTAAGAGAAACGAAAGAAGACCAACTAATAAAAATATTAAAACCGAGTCTCAACAGGCCACAATAAAATTTTACGCCAAATTGNAATATATATATATATATATGTAACTAAGTTGTACTGGCGTGTACACATAAATGTGACTAAGTTGTACTGGTTTATACATAAATGTGACTAAGTTGTACGGGTGTGTACATAAATGTGACTAAGTTGTACGGACTAAGTTGTACGGGTGTGTACATAAATGTGACTAAGTTGTACGGGTGTGTAAATAAATGTGACTAAGTTGTACTGGTGTATACAAGCAAATGCCCTTCCCGTTGGATACGTATTGCTTAAATAAAATTAAAGAAAAGAAGTAATAACGACAAAGCAGACAATGGAATTTGTCAACTTTTCAAGGCAATCAGCCCCTTTCATGTAAGCACGGACTTATCTATTCTAATTCCGTGATGTAAGACAGCAAAAAATGAATATATAACAAAAATGGTCACAACGAAATAAAACTACAACATTAAATAAATAAACAAAAGTACAGTTATGCTAATGTTATTTAATATCCCTTCGGATACTAAGGTTAATTATGGTAAAAAAAAATCATCCTGAAGACGCCTATCAACTTCATAGTGTATAGGTACACTGACCCATGTTCCTATAGTTAAAACCGGTTTTTATTTTTTTACAGAGACATTGGGTATAGTGCCTCTGCTCAGCTGTTTGTTATGTAAAGAGGAGACCTACTGCATTTATCTAAATTATTTCAAATAACTTCAAATTCAATTATTCATCAGTTCCCTAGTTAATATCTATTTATGACTTTTGTTGAATCAAGAAATATGAGTGTATTGCAAAACAGAAAAAGTTGAAAGCTATTGAACCAATAACGACGTTGTGACACGTACATGGCGATTTACTATACATTTGTTATACAGAGTGGTACAATTCCTTAGGTAAAATTATCTACAGTTTCCATTGGACATGATTTGTAATACACGGTACAATTTTCTTAACAAGAATATAAGCGATCAGATATATGATTATAAATATCGTAGCGTCTGATAACCTGTTGTGTCCTCCAATACATAATAAAAAAAAAATCATTGAAAAGGGGTTTCTTCTGCGATAAAGAAAGTGGGGAACCAAGCCAATACGGTGCCAAGAAGAATACTAAAAAAGTAAATAAAGTTGTAATTCGAACTCAAAAGAGGTAAAAGCAATTCAAAATAAATAGGACAGATTTACATGAAAAACTGAAGGAGTGCATGGTGAACGAAACCAGGGGTTCCTGAAGGGTACGTTATGGCATCTTCTGCGTCTTTACATAATAAAAGTATCATACAGAAAACTGCTTTATGTGGCAAATGTTAATAATTGAAGCAAACATTACTGGGTGTTTTATGCCCAACAAAGTGTTTTAGGCCTATAAAACGTCAGGTTTAATCAGTTTATTGATGTAAAAGCTGCATTATCTATGATCAGACAAAACAGTTTTGATAAAGCTGAATAAAACTAAATCGAAAGTTGGAATACTACTCTCAACTATCATATCTTATACAGATAAGTTGTTGGTATTTTTTCTACAATTTTACTCAAGAAATGTTTTATCCACAATGTCTTAAAGTCATATTCTCAAAACTACGTGTCACCACGGACTTAGATAACTAATCTAGTTCCGTGGTGTCACTGTCTTAACTTGAATGTTTTGACAGAACGATTATTATTTCCTTTATTTCCTCCAAAAACGAAGAGTTACAGAAATAACGAACAAAACACTATTGAAAAGAGAAGAAAATGCATTCACAATCATGGTCACACCCTGACATAGTGACTCACACATGCACATGGACAGACACACACATAAGAGAATAATAATAGTACACGCATCATACCATAAAGTACTATAAACACAACACAATGATATAATAGGTACTATTACAGTCATTATACGGTGATAATTATGATGATAGACAGTATAACACTAATCATATATTACATCACACATTGATATAATAGACATATTTACACTCCTCAGACTACATTATCATATAATAGTATAGACAGTAATCCACTTCTCGTACTAAGCAATCATACAACATTGTAATAAACAGTATTACAAGCATCACACTATAAATTATACAGCATTATTATAGACAGTATTACTGNAAAATGCGGAGTCAAACAGGTATAAGTGTTTACAATTATATATATTGAAGGGAAAGCATTTGGCAATTGAGGATATTCTCTTATTTTGTTGCATTTATTTGAAAACGAAAATAGAACATTTTACTTGTTTATTATCAAAGATAAGTATTACCACTTGTATTTAGTATACATCACAGTCAGATATTTCACTTGTATTTATTATCACAGACAGGTACTAAAACACTTGTATTTATGATCACAGACAGGTATTACATCATCATCGAGGATGGTATTACATTGGTATTTATTATTACAGGTATAACACTTGTCTTTTAAATTAAATATCACAGACAGGTATTACAATTGTATTTGATATCACAGACAGGTATTACATAATCATCGAGGATGGTATTACATTGGTATTTATTATTACAGGTATAACACTTGTCTTTTAAATTAAATATCCAGACAGGTATTACACTTGTATTTATTATCACATACAGGTATTACGCCTGAATTTACTACCAGAAAGGTATTACACTTGTATTTAGTATCACAGACAAATATTACATTTGTTTTTACTATTACAGACTGTGAGACAGATATTACACTGGTATTTAATATCACAAACAGGTATTACACATGAATTTACTATCAAAAGACATGTATTATACATGTATTCAGTATCACAGACAGATATTACACTGGTATTTATTATCACAGACAGGTAAAACACCTCATTTGTGTGGCATCGTTAGTTAAGATGAATATCTGTTATGTATTTATTGCAACTTTAGAACAATACACAATATAAACACATATATTTCAAGCTGAAACTTTTGAGAAAAAAAAAGATTCTAAAAGCTATAAGGGGGTATTTTCTTACTTACTCATACATGTATGCCAACTGGAAAGTTCATGGAAAAATAAACCACAGACCCTTTAAAATAGATATATATGTAGTAGGACGAAAAATAGTGATTAAGTTAGTGCTGTCGCTGGTGCTCAAACCCGCGAACTTTGGCTCTCCAGCCCAATGCTCTACCGCTGAGCTAAAAGGAAATTCCCTACAGCTGACACTCGTGAGGCAACCTAATCAATGCACATCTTTTACATATAATGTAAATATAACTCTATATTACTCTTGAAGTATATATAATATGTATACCAATCCTAATTATATACGCTGTTTAGTGTATACATGTATATACCTCTCATAATAAACTCTGCAGACAACTAATCTTTACATACCTAAATATGTGTTCTATATATAAATTATATAATCTGTATATCAACTTTTTACATAAATAACAAGAAGCCTGAATAGTTAATCTGAATTTTTAAATTTCAATTTAAAACCTGTGAAATATCATACTCTTGATATCAAGTGTATGGGTTCTTAAAAAGGATTCATTTAAAAATATGGTTTTCAATTTTTAATCTTTTATATTCATTGATGCTGTACTGGAACGTGTCCACTGCAGCATTACTTAGCCCGTGATGGCTTTATTAAAGCAAGTCACTCAGCTCAAGTCTGATCTGTGGAAGTGCCACATTGGGGAACCTCTTTTTGATGATTTCTGAAAGAATACAAGGTATTTAGATATATATCAGTGATGATTTTTTGTGGGGTACATTTGGGGCCCCTAGAGAAATTCAGCCCCCTTCCCTAGAGAATTTCGGCTATATTTTCCCAAATTACTTTTTGAGTTTTATAATTGGCAAAATTGTTTCATTACAAAAGGCACAGACCCCAGATGTAAAAAGAAAATCTATATACTTTTTAACATTTAAAAATTGAACATATTTTCTCCCTGAAAAAATATTTCATTGCATTGATAGGAGAACTTTATATGTGGAAAGATAAAGGATCAATCAACTTATACAACTCAATCATGGAATGACGAAAGAGAAGGGGACCACATTGAACAATATATTTGAACACTGAACATCTATGCAGACTAGGAAAAAGGATAAACTTACTCGGAGGTGTGGCACAAAAAATCCATTTTGCTGGGTATTCTTGACTTTGACTCTTTGATGCAGCCTTATAAATTAAAAATTGTGCTATTTAGTGTAATGATTACTGATTGAGATAACTTGTATTCCTTTTTGTCCTTCATATTTCAATATGGAACCACTGACCTCTATTTTATCAATAGATTTATATAATATTAATACTGGTAAAATGCATTTCAGAGAATTTCAGAAAAGTTTGCATTTGCCACAGGTTTTTAAAATTTGAATAACCAGGTAAATTAAAAAAAAAATAGCATACAGAAAAATTCATGTTAGTCATGATTTTAGAAATAATTGATTTGGGGTTGTGTTTATTCATTATTTGATGAATAAATTAGTTGGGTAATGATATAATATATCCACAATGGAAGACATTCATTTCAAAATGTATGATAGACTTCCAGTTCTTGATAGCAATCTTTATAGAGCTGTCTGTAACTAATCCCCCTTCCAAACCCTATAGCTAATGACCCTGGAGGGAGGATCTGGCCAAAGCTACATCAGTACACACATGTATACATACAATGTTTTGTGTATATAAAGTATCCAAGTACCTTTATGATTGGTGTCTGAAGTAAACAATTTCATCTACATAATTCTCAGTTTGACTTCATTTATGAAAAATGTCAAAAAATAGTTTAATGTGTTAATTATGCTTAAACTAACAATGCTTTAAACCACTTAACCCTTGTCTTCCACATTCAAATTCCCAGTTATACTTACACACTCTACATGTAAATTACAACATCTTCTAGCTACTTGTATACTTACTTTAACTGATTTGTTTGCAATGCAGCTATACATAATAAGCAGTACATTTCTTGACTTATTTCACAAACAAATATACTAGAACCAAACTGTTAATTTTTCAAACAACTAAACTTGACCGTATAATCCCTAGTACTGCTGTATTTATACTGGATGTATCAAACTAAATGAACATAAAAAACAGTATTAGTTTGTTCATACTAACCTGTAGATGTGGTATTAAAGTGTACTAGTATTCTCTCTTCTTGCTTATGTCCATAATTTGGCAGAAATTCACATTCTTCATAATCTGTCACACAATGCAACGATCCATGGCTAGGGATTGACCTCTTCACCTCACAACTTCCTGTGCATCAGTGTGAATTTAAACTGACCAATCACAGACCAGGATTCTGGACTGGCCGCAGTAGCTATGTTTATTATCTTGATCCTTCTAATTATCTTTCAACAGCCTGGTGAGCTGTATAGACATGCTAAAATCTATTGAAACACTTCACAGCTATTAAAATTAGGGAAAATAAACAGCATTTTCTTTTTTCATTTTATGTTAAGAAGTTCAGTGTTAAAAAAAAATGAAGTAATTTTAACAATAATGAAAAAAATGAAAAATGAAGTTGCATCTCTAAATATTCTTAGTTTGAAAATCCAAAGCTGTAGAAATGCTCTAAGTAGGAAAATATGAAATCTTAAAATTAATGAAATTATGATGTTTTTCAAATTATACTGAATACACCCATTTCTGTACTCTACGATATGTTTTTTTTTTATTATTCTGAGGAGATTGGTGTAAGGCTTCAGAATATCTGACTTGAAACACCAAAATTAAAGATTTTTAAAAGAAAAATCATGTAGCTGGGACTCAGAAAATGTCCACATCCAAAGTAAAAAAAATGGCTATAAGTCCACAAAATGCCGAAGAAAATCTGTGAAATTACTGTAAGTCTCAACTTCGTAGAATTCCACGGGTTTCCGTGGAAAATGTCCACAGATTTCCACAGATGTGGAAGAATACGTATGGAAAAAACCCGCTGATTTTTAAATCCACAGATTTCCATGAATTTCCATGCCGCGGAAAGATTTTTATCTTTCTTTTTTCTGTGGAAAATGTACAACCGGGAAGGGAGCTTATAATAATATCATAACCCTGGGCATGTCATTTCTTCAGAATAAGACTGAAGTTTTTGACATATTCGACCTCAGTTACTTTAAAAGAAAGTCAAGGTCTTTTTTATTCGCATATTTACTATTTAGTAAGGTTCTAACCCAGGAAGCTAACAGCCAAATATCATGGGTTTAGGACTTTCATTTCTTCAAGTTATTTGAATTTGTTTATTTATTTGACCTGTCGCCTTTAAAGCATTAGTCAAGCCCACTCTTGTATTTCAACCAAATGTACTTTGAAGGGTGCATCCTTAGATCTAGGAGTTTTAGATGATATACAAGAGGCTGAGAGGGCCTGTATCACTCACTTTTGTATGTAGCGAAATATCCTCATTAAAAAGAAAATTGAAGTTAAGACACTAGCTATAGGCATAAACTCTCATTGTACCTTCAGACCAGATAAATAAATAATGAAAGGTGTAGCCCAAACTTGCTACTGAGAAGCAAAGCTAAAAATCATAGCTTTGATAGAATTATTGATGAAAGGATTTTGCAACAATTGCATTTAAAAATGAAGGCTAGTGATACATACCTTCTGATTGACTTGTTTTCATTGACAGTATATATGTTATATCCTATATCTCTTGACCAAGGAAGAAATAATGTTATGACTAACATATTATGTTATATGAGGTGTGTAAAGAAATAAGAGAACATGTGTAATAGTGTGGTAGTACAATTGTACTGTACATGTGTTAACATGTCTGTGATTGTATATATACTAATTTCCATGTGTAATATACGTCTGTGAAAGTATGTACATGTGTAATACCTATCTGTGATAGTGTGTACATGTGTAATACCTGTCTGATAGTGTGTACATGTGTAATACCTATCTGTGATAGGATGTACATGTGCAATACCTGTCTGTGATAGTATGTTCATGTGTAATACCTATCTGTGATAGCGCGTATATGTGTAATACCTATCTGTGATAGTATGTACATATGTAATACCTATTTGTGAGAGAATGTACATGTGTAATACCTATCTGTGATCGTATGTACATATGTAATACCTATCTTTGATAGTGTGTACATGTGTAATACCTGTCTGATAGTGTGTACATGTGTAATACCTGTCTGATAGTGTGTACATGTGTAATACCTGTCTGATAGTGTGTACATGTGTAATACCTATCTGTGATCGTATGTACATATGTAATACCTATCTTTGATAGTATGTACATGTGCAATACCTGCCTGTGATAGTATGTACATATGTAATATCTATCTGTGATAGTATGTACATGTGCAATACCTGTCTGTGATAGTATGTACATATGTAATACCTATTTGTGAGAGTATGTACATGTGTAATACCTATCTGTGATAGTGTTTACATGTGTAATACCTATCTGTGATAGTGTGTTCATATGTAATACATGTCTGTGAAAGTATGTACATGTGTAATACCTGTCTGTGATAGTGTGTACATGTGTAATACCTGTCTGATAGTGTGTACATGTGTAATACCTGTCTGATAGTGTGTAAATGTGTAATACCTATGGTAGCAGTGTACAGTAGAGGGTTGTGGCCATGGGTGATATTTTTGTTAAATGGCTAACCCCTGTATTATGATGTGTAAAAAAATATAAAAATAAAACTGTACTAAAATTGGTATAAGCATGATGAAGTGGGCTGTGTGAGCTTCACATTTGTAAAAAAGAAAGAAGATTTTTTTTGGTTCGAGAATAAAATTTTGACCATAATCCGAAAGGGTGCATACACACGAAAAGCTAGCTTTACAGGAGGTAAAATTTTGACAACAGCACACGACGCAAAATTGCAAAAAATCAAGTTTTACAACTTTACTGGGACCCAGATAATTCTGCAACCAGGTAGGTTATTTTTAATTTCAGACAGAGCTTAGGAAAAAAATTACTAGTTGCGGGGGTCAAATTTTGGGTTAAAAATAGCAATTTTTGGCATTTTTTTGGTAATTTTTGATGTGGTAACCATGGTTTTCACACAAGTGACATACATAGAAAAAAGAGGTTTATACACTTCTCAGTACTGTATATGTATTGTAAATATAATGTAGTTTACAAATATATATACATGTATGCATGTGTTGTGTAGGGTAAATCCGCTGTTTACATTTCCTCGACATGTGCTTTGTTTATCAGAGTCGGGCCATTTCTACTGTACACTGCTACCTATCTGTGATACTAATTCTCATGTGTAAATACCTGTCTGTGATATTATGTACATGTGTAATACCTATCTGTGATAGTATGTAAATGTGTCATACCTGTCTGTGATAGTGTCAACATGTGTTGTATCTGTCTATGATAATATATATATACTTCTATAAGACGTGTGTTTGATACTTAATACATGTGTAATACAAGTCTGTGATAATATACGTATAAGACGTGTGTGACACTTCATTCATGTATAATACCTGTCTGCGATAGTATATACAGTCGGTGTACATGTGCATGTATTATGATAGCTGTGATAATTTTACATGTGAAATTCCTGTCAGTGATAGTATATACATGTGTGAGATAGCAATTCCTGTCTGTGATAGTGTTTACATGTGTAATACCTATCTGTGATACTGATAGTGTGTACATGTGTGATACTGATAATAAAGATATGTGTTATAATTGTCTGTGATAGTAGTATGTGTCTTAATACCTGTGTGTGATACAGGTAGTATGTTTGTGTAACAAACCTTAGTGTGATAGTATACTCATGTATTATACCTGTATATGATAGTTTATATGCATGTGTATAATAACTGTTTGTGATAGTATATGTGTGTAATAGAATGTATGTGTATAATAACTGTGTGATAATATATGTGTGTAAAAGTATGTATGTGTATAATAACTGTGTGTGATAGTATGTATGTGTATATAATTACTGTGTGTGATAGTATGTATGTGTATAATAATTGTCTGTACTGTGATAGTTTATATGTGTGTAATAACTGTGTCATAGTTTATAGTGGTACATGTATAATAACTGAGTGTGATAGTATACATGTATAATACATGTGTGTGATATTATATGTGTAAATACCTGTATGTGATAGTATATATATGTGTGTAATAGTAAATACAAGTGTTATATAACTGCCTGTAATAGTATACACATATAAAATACCTGACTTTGACAGTATATTAATACACATGTGTAATATGTGAAATGTATGTTAACTCATTATTGATTTGGATTGTTATATGCTATATGATCATCAAACTTTGATGGAGATGCATCTTAATTGATGGTATTTCACTGTTGTAGAGTTGATTTTATTGTGATGAGAAAATGCCTTATTACAACTTTCAAGTTCTCTGTACAATTTGACATATATGCATTCACCATCAGTTTCATTTGGATTGAAATTTACCTATAGCTAGCACAGGCATCATAATAGTTTTATGTTTTTGCCTCCTTGAAATATATAATCAAGTGTATTCCTATCTAAGCTTTAACAGTGGCATTTCAAAACTTTCATTTGATACAGATTCATAGCCATTATACACATGTAGTTATTAGTATGATTTAGGAGAATATTACAATCTATTTATTTAACTGCATATACTAGAGTTGAATATGTACATGCTTGTTCTGTCAGCTGTATTGGAAACCAGACTTGTAGTTGTTAAAATTCTGTAGCTGTGAGGGCACTGCCAACATTAGAATGATCTTTATAATTATGCATTAATCTACAAACTTCATACAATTAATTTCTACTATGTATCAAATCATTAAGCTAAAGATATCGTAATGCTTGTATTTTGCAGGCTGGTGGATTATCAACACAGCGGAAGTCACCAATGTGCATAGATGCTGTCTAAAGTGACTATGATGTCATCATTTGATGATTACTTCAGTCTTCACTCTTTCATTGTAAACGTGGCAAAAGTTTTTTACCAATAAATTATGTGATGCTAATCAGAAGTCTGTTGTTTTATCTATTGATACTATATAGGATTATTTTGAACTGCGACCGTAACCTTTGACTTGCTGCAGAGAGAAAAGAAATGGTCGTGATATACATGTATGTGGGATGATAAGGCAATGTGTTACATAACGGTACCACTATTTGGTCCCTATGCCTGAAGGTCAAGGTAACATTTAGGTCACAGGTCAAATCCTTTTACTGGGCAATTCTGATTTGATGAAGATAACTCAA